CCGCCAACCCATTTTTAATCAAACAAAAACATACCCTGCCTCACAGCGGGCGGCTCCGACTGTCCGTGTACACTGGGGCCAGCTACCGGAAGCCGCTTCTTCCCTTCACCGTGCCACGCACAAACCTCTCACTCCTCATACAACTAAGCCTTACAGTCCTTTACAATACCCAACCATCACACTCAATCACAGCTTCCGCGAAAAGCCCACAGCTACATCTAGCTAGCACAGCCTCTCTGCCCTGTTGTCTTTGTTGTCATGGTTACCGACAAACTCATCCAGTCCACTCTATTTTGTGCTTTTCTTAAAAATTACTGCACATATTGACGATGGCTTATTGAAGTAGTAAAACCTATCAAATGTATTCAATTATTTTGCATTGTTTAGTCATTTTTAAAACGCTGACGCCACTTTTACCTCACATGCAGTTCCTCTAATGGCCAGTAGATGGCAAATACTGCCACCACGGCCGAGAATATGCCTGATGACAATGACCTCCGCTGTTAGCATTAAAGGAAAGTACTGTCGCTGTGCTGTTTAAAATATATGTCACAATATAGACGAGGGAACTTCTTTGTATAAAACCATGCAAAATATTTTTTGTACATTTTGCTTGAATAATAACATTGAATGTGTGTCAAAGAACAGGAGATTTGAGGCAAAAACAGAGGACAACGTTATTTGTCACTTTACTCCAAAAGTGTTTACATTTCATCTTTTGTTTCTTTTTTTTCATATCAATCTTTTTCTTTTTTTTGGAGAGTGAAATTTAAAAATTTCAAATGAGTACATTTGTTTTAGCTGGCCAGAGAAATGTTCCCTTGACAGCAAAAGTCGCGAGAGACCACGTGATCGTGTGATTCTATATGGAGATATGATCTTTTGAAAATCAGTTGACCATTCCAACGTTTGATTGGAACTCACCTTAAAACCATGGCAACTCCAAACAGTAACGTCACTAATGGAAGCAGCTGAGCCTCCTGGAAAGTGCCTGATGACAATGCCCCTCACTTTTAGCTTCAAATAAAAGGACTGTCGCTGTGCTGCTCCCAATATCCGTCTTAATATAGACGAAGGAACTTCATTGTATGAAACCAAGTAAAATATTTCTTGTACATTTTGCTTGAATAAGAACGTTAAAATGTGTGTTTAAGAACTTACAAAAGAATTGAGGCAAATATAGGGGCGACAATATTAGTCACGTGACTAATTTTCATTTTTGACAGCTGGCAAGTGCAATTCCCCTTAACAGCAAAACTCACGAGAGACAACGTGATCTTGTGATTTTATATGGAGATATGATTTTTTGAAAATCAGTTGACCATTCCAACGTTCTTCTTCTTGATTTTATTGGCGGTTGGCAACAAACTTTAAGCAGCATTACCGCCACCTAATGGTATGGAGTGTGGTTCGAAATGGACTATCATCTTGTATCTTCCTACTCCTACCTTTAATATATAATTTAACTAAATGAATTTCCTGTTGATGTATACCTACATACTCTTATCCATTTTTATATATATCTTTATAATCCACCTTTGATGTGAGCCATCAAAGATTGTACATATTTTAGTCACTCAAATCTCTGCGCTCTGTGTTGCTTCCTTGTTTGTTTTTGCTATTTGTGCTTTATGCACCTTTTCCTCCTTTTAAACCCTCTTTAGTCACTAAACCGATGTGTGACCAATGAATTTCTCCAATGTGAGATCAATAAAGCTCTTATCTAATTGAATTTATGAGCATTCAT